AAGTAAATAAACACATCTTTAATTCACATGAAGGAAAAACAGGTAGGCAGTACCGCCAGTGCTGCTTTTTTAACCATGCGTATGCCTTGCTAACAAGTAGACATGAGAGGAAGACAGCGCCCTCGTTCACTTTCCAGGGAAGCCGCCGTGCCAGAGGCCTGTGGCCCTTGGTGTCTGCAGCACCCATGAACGTGGAGATATTTCTTTCCCTTTGTTCAGTGCCTCTTAAGAGCTGCTGATCCCAGATGACAAATTCCACCCATTGACAAGAAGCAGTCCCAGCCCTGCGCAGTGACTCCAAGGAGGGAGCGCTCACAGGCTCCGGAGGGTCCTGGGCGTCACCCGGAGGCTCCAGGCCACCAGGGGACAGTGTGAGTGTCCGGCAGTGGTCTGTACCCAAGGCGCAGGGGCTCTGTGCTGACTGCCCCCCGGGGCCTCTGCCCGCTCCACTTTATCTCCACTGCTCCTGGCTCTCGCTGACTGCATTTCCCCAAGGTGGCCCAAGCATTGTTTGAGCTCTGACGGCATTCTGTCAGCCCTGCTGATGGACAGTCCCCCTGAGCCCCGCTTCCTGAGCAGACGAGAGGGCCTGCTGTTTTCTTCTTGTCTCTTATCACCCCTTGTCATTAAAAGAGAGGCCTGGCTTCCACTGCCATTCGTGCTGATGGGCGGCAGAAAGGGGACCGCCAGGAAACGCTGCTCCTCGCTGCTCGGGGTCTGCTTTCTCTCGGGGAAGAATTCACCCCAAGGACAAATCTGTGAGCGAACGAGCGGAAGCTGCCCCGTGAAGGAGGCCGTGCACAGCACTTCAGGAAGTCCACGGAAAACGCAGTTCTCTGGGCGCACACGGTTCTGAAGTCCAGGCACGAGAGGTCTTCAGAGAGTTCGTGGGAAATGCACCTCGTGGACACCTCTCGTGCCTGGCTTTCACAGTGACGGGCTCGTGGCCGAATCCCCCTCTCTCCCACAGCCTGGAGTCTGGGGGAGCTTGCAGACTTCGATTTTTTGCTTTTTCTCCACCTCGGGGACGCCGCTCTTGAACCTGGACTGCAGTGTGCTGTGCTTTTCTGCTGAGCTGGTTTCTTCTTAAAGCCTGCCCCCCCCCCAGCAGTTTTGTTTGTTTGTCTGTTTTTGCTCTTGTTTTCATCAGCCTTTCTAAACGAAACTTCACTCCCAGAGTAAACTCCCCTGCTCACTCGCCATTAGCATAAAGTTAGATCAAGAACCAAATTCACTGGCAGCCTTGTGCTCCCTTGGAACCCGAGCTGGTTCTCTTGTTTTGGCTTTTTCTAGAAAAGTAGTGGGAAAATGAGCACGAGTGCACTTCACAGCTCCGTGTCTCGCGTTCCTGAAGATGTGTAAGGGGGCTCTCACCGGGCCTGCTCTGCGCACCTTCGTATTCACGGCACTCCAGTCAGTTTCTTTCAAAATGTACGTTAGAATTTTAGCAGCATCCTGCCTGAAAGATCGCACACTCTTAAAATGTCTCCCCACGAAACACATGTCCTTTTGCAAAACCTGTTGAGGAAACAAACAGTATCCATAACTGGAACTCAGAATTAAAATGTCCCCCAAGCAAAGTCACAGCAGTGTGGCTGTGAGCTTGGATGCAATGCGTTTATGAGCACTGCCCACCCTGGTTCTAGGGAGGCGGTGGGGGGCATTTAACGTGGAGAGGAATGATCCAGAGAAGGTGGGGGGAGAAAGGAAACCAAGCAGTGCCATGTAAGGATGGGGTGTCCCCTTGATGGAGTCAGAGGTGCCCCAGAGCCTTGAGGGCAGGGCACTGGGGTTCGGGGAGAAGATAATGGCAGAGTACGATTCTCTCTCCTTTTCTGGATTTTCCCTTAACTACTCTGAGCTCAGGAACCGGCTTAATGGCTTTTCCAGGATTTGGCCTGGCGCTTTATCAGTCCACTACAACAAGAACATGAGCCAGGAAAGCCTGCAAAATCGCTGCAGCAAAACATGCGCTCCCCGCCACGCTGCCCCGTGCAGCTCAAGACCGCGAGCCCCGAGCCCGCGCCGAGCCCTGAGCCCTCCGGGTCCCGGCCTGGATGCCCCAGCAAGAGGACGACTCCTGAGAGCCAGACGAACAAACAGCAGCGGGGGGAGTCGCACAGGGACGCCCCTCCCTGCTCACGCTGCCTGGCCGCCGTGAAATGCTCAGTTAAACCTAATTGAACTTGACAATAATAAATTACAGATTGGAACTGTATAGTTCACCTGAGGAACGGCGAGGAAAGCAGCGAGGACACACCAGCAGCCAGGGCTCGAGAAAGGCCTGAGCACACGGAGCGGCCTCCACTGTGTCGTGTCCCGAGTTTCATTGTCTCTTGTTTTCCCCAGGAATGCTCCAGACCACCCAGGGCACAAAGTCCTTCTTGGAAACTGAACATCAAATCATCACGTTAATTCGGCTTTTCCCCCACTAAGCCGACACAGAAAGAAGGAGCTGAGCCGGCAGGGTGGCAGAACAGAGCGGGAGAGAGCAGGCCCTAGTGCCGGGGGCTTGAGGAAGGTCAGGTTGTAGAGGCAGTGGGACACCAAAGGGGTCCATGCTGGGGTCTTCCCGCACAGCCCCCCAGGCCCAAAGGCACCTCACCTGCAGAAGTGCCCCCCCGCGCTGCCCGGGCCCCTGTGGGGTGCCCTGCACTCTTGGCCACAGTGGCACAGTGGGAAGAGGTAAGGAGTTAAGTGCAGCCCACGCTGGACGTCCTCATCTGGCCTCAGAAGCTGGTTGGGGCACAAGCGCGGGGGTCCTGCGGCGGCTCAGTAGCAGCTGGCATGGGGCGCGCTGTTCTGTCCTGATGGGCCCTCATCCTTTTCCCTCCCAAAGTCTCTTGGTCTAATTAAATTTCAGGGAGACAGAGCCTTGGCAGAAGGTTAAAGGAAGCTGCTAGACTGCAGTGCAGGAGCTGGGCTCAAAACTAAATCGGGAAGTTTGACTGGGCGCGTCTCTGGTTTCAATGGAATACTTTCACAGCGTATGGTAGCAATGTCTGGTTCTAAGCTTTTGAAACCCATTTTTCTTTTTCCTTAATTGTAGTTCCTGGGTTGTTTTTATATTATGAGCTACTTGTAGGAAAATACAGGAAACGTAATTACAATACAAAGCTCTCTTTCCCAAGCCTACTGAGATCGCTGGAAGCCAAACCGTGTTTTAGGGTTTTGCTAACTGTAGGTTCACAGCCATGCGTTGCATCCTATGCTGCGCTGGTTGATTTACGGCCAGTGTGATGTGATTAAACAATAACCATGTTTCTCTCCAAGCCCTGGAGTTGCTATAGGATGGGGGCGGGGGGCGGGGGGTGGTGGCCTGGCCCGGCTGCTTCGTGGCTCTACACTGGGGAAGAAGAATGAGTAACTTTGTGTGACGCTGATAGTAAAATGGAAGCATTGTAGAAGCATAGACAAGTTTATTTAGGGAAAGGAAAGAGAAATAAATTACTTGGCTTGTTTTCCCACTTACATGGCAACTCCGTGTCGCGCTGTGTTAAGACCACCAGCCACTAATTTTTGTATCCTGCAGAACCTGGCCGTGGACTCTGGGGCCGGCAGAAGTAACTCCTGGCACTCTTATTAACACAGCCCCCCGGGGAGGAAATCACTGCTTCGGGGCATTGTGAAATGCCCGGCCTCTGGAAGCAGTCCCCCAGCCATCCGTGCTGGGCACACGCAGAACCCACGCGGCCGGCGGTGGCTGAGGCTGAGCCGTGGGGGGACACCAGGCGGCCCGGCCGAGCAGGCTGAGGCTGAGCCGTGGGGGGACACCAGGCGGCCCGGCCGAGCAGGGCCTTGCCACCCCGACCCGGAGCGCGGCCCGTGCCCGCCAAGCGCCAGGGCAGCCCGCGGAAAGCAAGCAGGAGGGGCTTGCGCGGGAAGGGCCGGAGTGCTTGCGTGGCCGCGGGACGTGCGCAGGCACCCTCGTGGCCGTGTGCGGGGACTGCTGATGACTGTGTCTGTCTAGGGGGAAAGCTCCTTGCTTGCCTCGCTTACAAACACGGTGTCTCTCGAAGTCTTTGTCTCCTTTCTTGTCTCCAACTCATCTTCGAATCCCCACCTCCATCTGCATCTCAGCGTTGAGAGACCCGCGTAATAAAGACACAGGCGCGGGAGGGCTGGGCTGGGGGACCCGTCTCTGCCTGTCTTTCTCTCTTCTGAGCAGGCTTCTTTCCCAGGAAGCCTCTTAGGGCGATGGAAACGAGCCGCCCCGTGTGCCTAAAACCCTGCGCGAAGCCCTGATGCGCTGTGTGGGCCACGCAGAGGGGGCAGACCCCGTGAGTCCTGGCCCCCTGCTTTCCCGCCGTGACAAGGCCTGGTGGGACGGGACGGGACGCTCGCGACTCAGGCGAGGGGCAGCCCCAGCCTGCTGTCCTGAGAATGAACCCGATCCTCCGCGGAGCTGCTGGGAGCGCGGCTGCAGACTGCGGGCTGCAGGTACTGCGGCGTGCAACTTCGGTTTCGGTTTATAGGGCGCGTGGGCGTGCTGGAGGCAGCGTGAACCCGGAGCAGCTCAGCCGCCGCCCGGGAAGAGCCGCGCTCGGCCGCCAGCGCGGGAGCCCACACCCACGCCTCCCTTAGAAACAGGGGTGCTCTCCTCCCGCCGCCAAGGACCGGGGCCCCGGGGCCCGAGCCTGGCGCCTGCACGCTCCGAGGCCCGCCCCCGCGTGGCCAGCGGCTTCGGGTAGGAGGAGGCGGAGAGTACCCGGCCCCGGGGCGCAGTGCGCGCCCGCCCCGCAGCGGGAGCCGAGTCCCGGGGTGCGCCCAGAAAGGGCAGCCGTCCGGAACAGTGCTCCAGCGAGCGTCGCTGACGACCAATGCGAGCTACAAAAAGCCATTCAGAGTGGATGGGACGCGGTGCGGAGGGGCGGGGGCCGCCTCGGGACGTGGCCTGAGCGGACGTCCGGAGCGGGCGCGCGGGCGCACGGCTGCGGGGCCGTGGGGCTCCCCGGGGCTCGCCGCCCCATCCCACGCCAGCTTCTCCCCTTTCTCCGCAGGACTTTCTGCAGGGAGACTGCACCAAAGCGAAACAGAAGCTGAACTGGAAGCCCCGCGTCGCTTTTGATGTAAGTGTCGCCGGGCATGGGGGACTCAGCTGGCAGTAGGGGTCGGGCGCGGCCGCCGGGCGCCCCGGGGCTGCGAGGCGGCGGCTCTCGGGGCGAGGCCAGGCCGGTGCCCGCGGCGCCCGAGGCCAGCAGGGCGGGGGAGAGGGCGGAGGCGGCCCCGGGCGGCGGGCGGGTGCTGCCAGGCCTCTGCTGGGCCGCCACCCGCGGTCGGGGTGTCGCCGCGGAGGGTGGCAGAAGTCCCGCCCACCCCGTGTCTCGGAGCGCAGGAGCTGGTGAAGGAGATGGTGTACGCCGACGTGGAGCTCATGCGGACCAACCCCAACGCCTGAGCGCGGCCGCGGAGCGCAGCGCCGCCCCGCCCAGGCCCGCGGACCCCCGCGTGCGGGCGGCGGGTGCCGGCGGCCAGGGTGGTGGTGCAGAACCCCGCGGGCTCCCGGCGCCCCTCCCCGCCCCTGCGCTGCCCCCACGGGCTGGGGCGGGGACCTCGAGATTTGTAGCAGCCGGGAAATGCCACTCCAGGGGTTGGGGACCTGCTTGGCCTTTGTCGAAGCTTCTGGGTTGGGTCTTGGGTAATCGGAGACGTTTGAATCACATTCACGTTACTTGAAATTATGTCGCCAGACACCTCAAATTGTGGGGCCTTCGAATTGTTTTTCCTCTTTCCTTAATAAAAAATGGCCTTTCTACGAACCAGCACCCAGAGTCGCTGTGTTTTCTGCATGGTAAAGCGGCTGTAAGGGACCCCAAAACAAAAACACCAAAAGTCACACCTCGGAATAAACCGGTTTATTCTGGCTTATTCTGGCCTGGCTGAGAAGACCCCCGCCAGGCCTGAGCCGGCTGGAGAGCGTCCTGCCCCGCTCTGCTGCCTGTAATTAGCCCCCTCCTGCCCACCACCCACCGAGCAGCCCCCAGCCCTAGAAGGGGGCCAGAAGAAGAGCCCGGAAGGGCAGTGCTGCCGGGAGGCCCCCAGCCCTGGGCGGCCGAGGCCTCGGAGCCCACGCCTGCCCTGTGGCCTAGGATCTCGCACAGGGCTGCCTCCTCACTGGAATTCTGATCCAATCAGCCAACCAATAGATAGTAAGTGCCAGATGCATGCCAGAGAGCCGGCTCCACACCTGGGCTGCGTCAGCATTCACTAGGAGTTAGATTGAAGGCCCAGCCCAGGGTCCCGGGATCTGGCCTCACTGAGAGCATCATTTGGGTGGCTCGAGGACCCCCGAGTCCGCTCTGTGCTCCTGTTCAGCTACAGGTAGGCGCAGGACGCCCCAGGCAGCAGGCCGGGGTTGGCGTGCAGGTGCACACACCTCTGCTGAAATACAGCATTCTGCCCTACGACAAATTAGGTCAGGGCTCTCCGGCTCCCCCTCACTCTCCTTCCAAGCAAAATAAAATAAAACTTTATAGCAAATGGAATTCCAGCCTCTGCACATGCGTGTCTGAGTGCGGGTGAAGTATTTCTGAATCCGTTCACCGGCAGGTTTATGATCTGGGGGAGGACCGAGACTCCAACGGCTGGCGCAGGAGAGAGGGCTCTTTGTTGGCTGCCCCAGTCGCCCTGAACCAGGCTGGCCGAGATCACCGAGCAGAACTGGGGTGGCCCAGGCTGCCTCCCCCGGTCCTCAGAAGCTGCCCCCCAAAACGCTCCCAGCACCTACCTAGGCAGGGTGCTAACTGGAAGCGGATGGCCCTGAGAAGCTGGGCCCACAGGATGGGCACACACACAACCTGCTCACACGCAGACACAAAGACGCCAGCGTGCCAGCCGACCCTGTCACACACACACAACCTGCTCACACGCAGACACAAAGACGCCAGCGTGCCAGCCGGCCCTGTCACACACACACACATGCTCACACGCAGACACAAAGACACCAGCGTGCCAGCCAACCCTGTCATACACACATGCTCACACACAGACACAAAGACGCCAGCATGCCAGCCGGCCCTGTCACACACAACCTGCTCACACGCAGACACAAAGACGCCAGCGTGCCAGCCAGCCCTGTCACACACACATGCTCACACGCAGACACAAAGACGCCAGCATGCCAGCCAGCACACTCACACATGCTCACACGCAGACACACACACAGACACCAGCATGCCAGCTGACCCTGTCACACACACACACACGTGTTCACACACACATGCACACAGACACCAGCATCCTGGCCAACACACTGTCACATGCAGCCCCACAGACACCACGCCAGCTGATACTGTCTTACACACATACACACTCACAGATGTACAGACACCAGCATGCAGGCTGACACACTCACATGTGCTCATACAGACGCACAAAGACAAAGGGTACCGGCTGATACTGTCACACACACAGACACAACCACATGTGCTCACAGACACTAGCATACCGGCTATACACTGTCACACACACACACACATGCTCACACACAGACGCACACAGACACCAGCATGCAGGCTGACACACTCACACACACGTGCTCACACAGATGCAGAGACACTAGGGTACCAGCTGATACTGTCACACACACACAAACACATGTGCTCACAGACACTAGCATACCGGCTATACACTGTCACACACACACACGCTCACACACAGACGCACACAGAGAGACACCAGCATGCAGGCTGACACACACACACATGCTCACACAGATGCACAGAGACACCAGGGTACCAGCTGATACTGTCACACACACACGTGCTCACAGATACTAGCATACCAGCTATGCATTGTCACGCTCACACACACACACACTCACACACGGACACACGCAGAGAGACACCAGTGTGCCGGCTGATGCACTGTCACACACACTCAAAACACAAACAGTTTGCCAATCTCACCAACTGCGTTCCCTCGAGCCTTGCCTGATGGACAGACCACCCGAACCTCTCTCCCACACCTGAGAGAGACCACTCCTGGGGCCGCTGGGGCTGGGGGTCGGCGACGGGGGCATTCTACCCAGTGTTTAGCGGCATGTTAGCCCAAAGCCATAATAAGCTGTTCTGTGTGAGGGCCAGGAGGGTCTAGGCAGGGGTTTGAATCAACTCCAGCTCTCAATGGGGACTGCGGCATCGATTTTTGAAGGAAACAAATAGAGATATTTGGTTGCAGCCTCTGTTCCTGTACCTCAGTGTGGGAGCTCACTGGCTTCCTGGCTCTGTGTGTGTGTGTGCTTGTCTGTGTGTGTGCAAACAAAAGGAACATTCCTGCAGAATTTCCTTTAAGATGACTCTTGTTAAAAGGCTTTTTCTTTAACCTCAATTTCAGTGAACTTATTTTTTTCTGCTCTGCGTTGTGTTATAAGCATCTTCCATCTTTGTGTGTGTTAGTAAAAACTAGAGAAAGTTAAACCCAGGGTTGTCCACCAAACGAGGGGCAGGGGACACGGACCCTCGGGCCACCCAGCCAACTCCCTTCCCCCTGACCTTCCTGTGGGAGCCCCCGCTCTGGGCTGGCTGCTGCCTCTTGTTGTTCAGGGGTCACTGGTGAGCCTGGCCCCACACCATAAACCTGTCACACCTCCGCAGCCGCGAGCCCCCAAGCAGGCTGCGGCACGGTCAGGCCTGTGCCTGAGTGCCTGGGAAAGGAGAGCTAAGGTGGTTCCACTGGGAGCCCGACTGCAGCTCTGGGTGGGGTGCCAGGGGAGATGGGGGGCGGTACCCCCCCAATGCGGGCACTGCTCCTGGCTCCTCTTGCTTCCCTTTCAGGACCTTCCCCAACCACCACCAACCCCACGGAAACCGCTGGCCGGCAGCTGTGAGCCGCTGACCAGCGTTATGGAGCAGGGGAATTTCCTTTTAAAATGATAACCCTCGAGGTACGGCTGCCAAGGCGTCTCCAAACCCTCCTCACCCCCACGTCTCGAAGAACCCCAGGCATCTGCGTCCGAGAAGGTCCGAGGTCACAGGTCATCTGTTTTCCCAGACCTGCTTCCCAACTTTCACAGGACACTGTGGCGGGCACTCGCACGTGCCACCTGCACCGCTCCAAACCCCGTGCGGCTCTGTCGCCGGCGGCCCAGCAGTGGGCACACAAGGCGGCTCCGGGCGGGCGGCTCCACGGGCCCGGCTTCTCGCCATCCTCAGTGTCCACCCAGGCAGGGTCTGGGCCTCTCCCGGAAGTCGGAGCCTGAGGCCTTCCTCGCTGCCTTCCCCGCGCGCATCTCCCGGGTGCGCGCCTTCGGGGTTACTACTCTTGGGTGGACTCTGCCCAGGGTCCGGTCGGGCCCCACTGGGCCGGAGCGTTAGGAGTTCGCGCTCTGTCCGGCAGGGCCCCACCGCTCCTCTTCCTCCTCCTCCTCCCCCTCAGCTGCGAGGCCGACGACCGCGGCCTGACCCCAGGCCCCACTACCGATGGCCCGGGCTCCCGCCCTTCCTCAGGGTCAGGGGTCACACACAAGGGACGCCCCATTCCCAGCAGCCCCTTTGATCTCCAAATCCGGGAGCCAAGGTGCCCGCACGGGGGGCGCAGTCGGCGTGCACGGGCACCACGGCGGCTACCCAGGCCTCGCCTGGCCCGCGTGCCCCGCGCCCTGGCTCTGCCACCTCGGGATGGGACTCTCGGGTCCAAGCTTCGACCTTGAAGGAGGGGGCGCAGATCGCGCGCACATGCGCCGGGCGCGCACCCCGGGCCTGGGCGAGCCGCGCAGTGCACGTGTGCGGGAACCCGCGCAGCGCGCTCTCCTACCCCACCGCCCTGCGAGACAGCGCTGTGGTGCGTGAAGAGACCCTCACCAGGGGGCTCTGGGCGCACACAGGGTCCAGGCCAAAACACGCGAGCGAGGGAGGCGAGCTGGTGAGCCGGCGAGAGCAACTGAACTCGGGGCTGCTCCGTTCCCCGCCGCTCCCGAGGAGGCCCCGGGCTCCAGCCGGCCCGGGAGGAAACCGCGCAGCCCGGGGCCCGGGCTGGCGTGGCGGGCCTCGGGCGAGGGAATGTATATTTGGAAGGGGTCAGGACCTCGGCTGGAGTCTGGCTTTTTATGGCGAGGAAGCCGACTGGGAAGGGCCTCTGGCAAGGCTTTCCTGTTGTGCCACTTGTCCCCGGCAGCGCACGCCTGCACGGGGAGGGCGGGCGGCCCTTTCCCCGCGTCTCCGAGGACCGGGCCCTGGGGTCGCGGCCCGCCCGGGAGCCGGCTGGCAGACGCGGGAGAAGGTCACGTTTCCCTCGGTCACTGGGTTCCCGGGCAGTCTGCGGAGCCCGACGGGAGTGGGGCCCCCTGGAATCGAGCAGCGACGCAGGCCCTGCGCCCTCTCTGGGACTTCCTCGCACCCAAACTGCCCCAGGCTGCGGGATCCGCAGAGAGGCCGCCTCCTCCCGATCCCCCTCCGGGACGCCTCGTTGGGGAGAGGCCCGGCGGCGCCCGTCTTGCCCCGCCTTAGCCCACGCTCCTGGCGCCGCGACCCGCCCCGCAGCGGTGCGGCCCAGCCTAGGCCGCGACTGGCCTTTGAGTGAGAAGAAAAAAAAAAACCTCTGCAATGGCAAGCAGGGCCCCGACCCCCGGCTCCGCGGCCTCCGGACAGCCCCGCGGCCAGCCGCCACCGCGCGCGCGTGACCCCGGCTGCGGGACACGGCCCGGCTCCCTGCGCGCAGTCGGGGCTGCGGGTTTTGGCCTTTCCGCTACGGGCACATTGGAAAACAATGCGAGCACACCGCGCCCTGGGCTCGGTCCGCACTGCCGGGGTCATTAGCAAGGCCCGGGCCCAGCCGCGCCGCCGGGAGCTGCGACCCGCTTTTATGCTGAAGGAAATGCGGAAGCCTTAAGAGTTAATGGCGCTCAATGCGTCGGTTTTCCTGCCTTTTCTCTGGAGTAGCCACAGGAGGGGGCTCACTCTGTCCCCCTGCCCCCCTCCTATCTCCGTATCCAAGTTGTTCCCAGAGCTTCCCAGTGAACCCCTCACTCCCTACCTCCCAAGGCCCCTCCGCGCCCCTCGCCGAGCCGGCCCCGCTCTCCTGGGGCCTGTGGGGGGTCCCAGCAGCCAGGGCGGGCGCTGGGCTTCAGGACTCCCAGTCCCTTCGCCCCTCCGTGCCCACCCAGGTCGCCCCCGGCAGTGTTGACTTAAGGGTGCAAACGGGCAGCCCAGCCAGCGCCCTTCGTGGGACAGGGCGATCTGCTCCCACAGAGCAGCAGGCGGGGCTGCGGGGCCGCGGGGGCCGTGGGGGCCCAGGGCAGGCCAGCGAAGGCCCATGCTCCTTGGGGGAAAAGAGGGAGGCACCGTTGGGAAAGGCCGGGGGGCCTGGAGACGCACCACTGAGGCTTCCGAGGGTCACCTGCGGCCCCCAGGCAGCCCGAGTGGGAGCTGGAAGAAATGCTGGACCCTGAGACCGAACAGCCCCGGCACAGAGCGGGGCGGCTGCACACGCAGGAAAAGCACAGGCCCCACTGCATCTCCTGGAACACGCGCTCAATGCGCTACAGATTTAAAACCAGTGAGGGAAAAAATCAGGTAAACAACACCAAAAAATAATAGAGAACAGAGGGTTTCCCTGGAGCCACGGGGAGACGGGAGAGCCGCGCAAGGGTTGGTGCCTTCTGCTCCCTGCGCGTGTTCTGGTTTCCAACAAGGCGGACATGGTACACCTTGCTCAATTTTCCACTCCTAATCAGGTCGAGCCCGCCAGTGGAGAGGCGGCTTTCATTCTCCTGAAGGGTTTTGGAGCTGGGATTCATTTAGCTCAGTTCCCTTCCCAACTGGACCTGGCCCTGGAATGTGCCAGTCCTCTCCCTCGGTGGGGGTGGGGGCCCCAGGTCTGCCCCAGGCCTGGGCATAAGCTTGGGGTCCTGGCCACATCCGGCCTCCCCCCCCCCCAGAACGCTGAGTGGAGGGGTCGTGGAAGAAGCCAGCAGAGGTGCAAGCTGGAATGGGGACATCTGGGAGAAACGTCCTGGCCCCAAGGCCCTCTGCGGGGGGCAGACGGAAGAAGGGGGGGCACAGAGACAAAGAGAAAGGAGGAGATGAGACCAAAGGCAAACAGGAGAACAGAATCGGGCCCACCAAAGGCAGAGCCCCAGATGGGAATGAAGGCCAGTTTGGAGGGCAGGGAGAACGCCTTCACTCAAAGCTCTTCGCAGGGGGTTTTCAGCTGTGTTAGAGACCAGAACAGATCCCAGAGAAGTGGGCTCTCTGGAGCCGGCGCTTCGGGCTCCACTGTCTGCATACAGTAGCCCCTCTTGTTGGGAGCCCCCGTGTGTGCCCCTGGCCCCTCAGCCTGCGGCTGCTTCTCTTCCCTCATCCCAGTCTCTGCTCGGCCCACGTGGAATCCTCGGCGGTGCTGCCCGGCCAGCTGTACTACTTGGCCACCATCAATCTTGCCCCTAGCCGACAGCTGTTTATGGACCAGGTGGGAAGGGCTAATGGCTCCCCAGACCAGCCACGAAATACAGCAGAGAGGAGTTCCGTCGGGACCCGGCGGCAGGAGACTCGGAGCTTGCTCAGTGGAACCCCTCTCCCGCAGCTCTGAGCCGTGGCGTGGGGTGGAAGGAAACTAATAGTGCCACTGTCAGCCTTGGAGAACACCGGTGGCAGTGCCCCAGGCCTGGATCAACCGGGGGCGCCTCTTGTGCCTCCCAGGCCACGAGGCCTGAAGCAGCAAGTTTCCGGCCTCTCAGCTTTTGGACCAGTAAGAACAAAACCAGTGGCCCTTACACCTTGAAAACCGGCCCCCAAGTGAGCAGGGCACCAGGAGAGACAGAGGCTCTATCCCCCACTTCTCACCTCTCAGAGTTAGCGGCAGCCCAACAGAACCGAGAGGCACTCCAGGGTCCAGATCCCCCGGTTCTCAGCTGACAGGAGGTGGCCCAGTGCGCACAGGCCCCCAGCACAGCTGAGCCTTATCACTTCGCAAACGTCGATTCCCAGGGACACAACCCGCGTGGGATGACAGATTGTCTAATGCGCGCTTGTTTGCACACAGGCTGGTGGAAAAGCGCAGCTAACAACAGAACCTGGAAAACAGCTCTCGCTCCCAGCACACACGCCATGCGCCAGAATGCAAGATTTGATATGGCAGGCACCATGCTGGCATTTGCGTGTGTACGGCATAAATTGCTAAGAAAATAAACGTGCCCCCTTCGACAGAAAGGACAAAATGCTCGTTCTGCAGAGGCTGCATTCAAATTTAGCCAATTCCCCCGCCCGGGGGTCCTGCCTGCTATCACGGGCTAATTCAAAATGTAGCGGCTATTAGTTCAAATATCACGGAGTTTCCTATAGACTAATGCACAGAGAAATTAGCCTCATTGCGGGGGAGAGGGGCTTGGGGAAGGGGCAAATCAAACTGGCAAACCACCGAGGTAGGAGTAGTTCCCGGTTAAATAAGCCTGGCACCACGGGGATTTTCCGAAGCTGGAGACGGGAATCCAAAAGCAGGAGTATGGAGGGCAGAAAACCGTGGAGATTGAACGATCCGCGGAAGGAGCAGGCTCCCCCGTCCTCGCACGCAATCCCGCGGGCAGCTCGTGGCAGCTGCAGGACACAGACACGCGGATTTCACACGCGAGGAGGGTGGAAAACAGTCGTGCAGTTTGCTCGGACAAGGAAGAGGGCGCGCTCAGGGGCCACGGAAGCCAGCTCCGCACTCCCACCCGGCTCCTTCCCTCTCTCTGCGGCCCACGCCGCACCCCGGCGGGCCCCGGTTCTTTCCCTCGCCCTGTTCCACTCAGGAACAGGACGCGCGCGCTGCCGCCCCCTCTCTGACCCAGCTTCGAAGCCCCCGCGACGCAGCCCTCGGGGATGCGCAGCCCCCATGAGGGAGCTGGTGGAGCTGATCACGGCCTGGCCAGGCCTGGCCCGGGGCTGGCTGCGGCCGCTGAGCCCTCGGGGCCAGGGGAGCCGGCGGAGAGGGTCGCGGGCACGTTAACCCGCAGCGCTTGAGCCCGCCGCGCGCCCACAGGCCTGGCGCATGCATCAGGCAGAGCGACTCCCCGCATGGCTACTGCCAAGTGATTTGTGGCCTCTGTAAACCGACCTCACACACCGCGCAGGGTTATGGCAGCCGTGCCGGGGAGGCCATCGCCCCCCCCCACACACACACACAGCGCTGGCCGGGCGGGACAGGTCCCGTGCGGGCGCGGCCGAGCTGCGGGGTGGTCCCGCGGACGCTCAGCTCCAGGCCCCGGGGCTGCGGGGCGCGCTGTCACCCGTGAGCAATGAGGTGCCTCTGACCTTTCCACCCCGCCCGGGTTCCTCAAACGCACGTGCGTCTTCAAAACAAAGGCGGCGAGCTGGGAGGAAACGGGAGCGCGGTGGGGCCGGGCGGAGCCGCGGGGAGAGAGCTGCGAGCGGGCGCCGCTGGGGCCCCCGGGGCGCTTCTCCCGGCTCGCCGGCCTCGGCCCCCGCACCCTCGCGCGCGCCTGCTCTGTGCGGCCTTCCGCTCGGCGCGCTCTGCCCGGCACCCCGAGCCGGCCCGCCACGAACGCGTCCAGCCTAACGCGGATTTTCTCCTGCAAGTCGCCGACTCCGGGAGGAGGCCGCCGAGACGCCTGCGGGGACCCGGGGAGGGCGGCGGCCGGGCGGGGGAGGCGGGGGCGCCCCACGCACCCGGGAGGCGGGCAATTACAGCTAATTAGCTGCGGAGCGTTCCTGTCCGGGAGCGGCGTCTGGGAGGCCCGCGTCGGGGCTGTGCGCGCCTCGCAGGGCCCGCGGCCCTGGAGAGCCGCCCCAGCTGGGAAAGTCTGGTCCGAGCCGCGGGGCTCCGCTCGCCACCCCAGCCCTGGCCCCCGGACAAGTCGAGAACGGTCCCGTCTCCGGCCGCCGGGGCCTCCAGGCCTCGGGCACGGGCTCGTGGCCCACCTGCCGCCGCCGACCTTCCGGGGGCGGGGAGGAGAGGCCCAGGACGGCCCGGCTCGGCGGGCCGCCGAGACCCTTTGTCCGCGCGCGCCGCTGCGCCTGGCCGGCTCCCTCAAGTGCAGCAAAGCGCCGACCCCACGACGCGTGCCCACGGCGTCTTTACCTGCACGCGGGGCTGCCCCGGACAGCCCTAGGCCTGCGGCCCTGACGGAGCGCACGGCGAGGCCGAGCCCCGCCGCGGGCCCCGCGAGGCGCCCGCGCCGCCGCCGTCTTCCCCGGCTGCTGGGTGCCGACTCTGGGGGAGGGGGCCGAGCGAATCAGAGGCCACGGAACGCAGGTTTTGACTGAAATTAGAGCGTGTTTATTTGCAGCAATCCTTTAACAATGATCAGATTTTGACAAGCGACAGCAATTACTGCCTAAGTGTTGCCTCCAGATAGGAGCGGCAGATAGGAAAGTGTATTATCTGGGAAACAAACGGAAAGGCCCGGGACGGCGCTAATCAAATCGCCATCTCCCCAAGTCTGATTGACAGGGCAGATCACCCTCAGATAATGAATTTATTACATTTCCTGGGTTATTTACAAAAGGCGGGGGGGGGGGGGAGGGCCAATCCGGATTGCCCCCTAGGTTTAACTGTAAATTAACAAGAAAAATTGGTTCGAGAAAAATAAACCACCCTAGACTGAAACGCTGTGCTCTCCTTCCTTGTTACTGCTTTCCATCTTAAAAAAAATTGTTCTATGAACATAGCTTCTAAAATAGTTTCCCAGAGATTAAATATCCCTTTGCAACCCACAGTATGTCTTTTCTTTAAAAAAAAAACAATCCTTCTATGCAGTACATGAAGGATTATAGAAGTGGATGGCTTATATACATACATTTTAAAACTCGGTTTTGCCTCTTACAACAGACTGAAATTACTAGGAATAAAAGACATCTACTGGGCACTCGGCTCCCGAGGCTGCGGACTATGCATGGCAATTGTACGTGGGACATACGGGCCAAACATCCTTGTGTGTGTGCGTGTGCTGGAGGCACACCTGCATCTCGCCACGCACGGGCGTCACTGTGGCAAAGGCTGCTGCTGATCCAGCGGCTGGAGCTTCCCGCATCATGTTCTGTCATTACTGTATTTGTTTATATGCCAGCTCAGATCTGTTTAGGAAATTATCGTTTCACTAGCCACAAAAAAATAAAAATAAAAAAAGGCAAGCTGACTATACAATACATTTGCAGAAGATGCTGCAGAAAGAAAAAAAAAAACTAAACAAAAAGACTTCCGTGAAATTTGACTTGGACTAGTCAGAGGGTTTCTGCGTTTTTTTCCCTTCTCCAGAGATTTAGGTGGAGAATAGGTAACTTCTAGTGTAGTCTCTCCTTAATATTTTTGTAATAATTAAAGCTATATTAAAGTATCCAGACATATAGGTCTCATTCGAACTGAATGGCAATTTATTAATAAACAAACAAGGATGAATATGTTCAACAAAAAAAGAAAAGATGATAGAATAAGATTAATACAGTTTCCCTTTTTTATATAATGAGAATAAAGGCACAATTTCAGGTTTCAGGCACTTTCACGTCAGGTTTTGGAAACACTTTGTGGCGTTTGGTCCACGACATCCAACTACAAATTAAAAATAAATTACTATGTTGCAATTTACATTTTAAAACAAGTCCTTGAATAAAAAGCAAGCGATTCTGCTCTACCGGGACTCTCGCCCTCCTCTCGACAGAGGGTAAAAAATGGCTATCTTACAGGTGAGAAGGGCAGGCGGCCCGAGAGGGAGCGAGAGGGAGAGGAGGAGAGCGAGGAGGGACTTACGTGCGACGTGCAGGGACACTGTCCGTGGCCTCGCTACAGCACGGCGCACGCTCTGGCTTACTTAGACAAGGCACAGTGGAGGAGGTGGCTCTCAATTACTCGCTTAAGAAAACAGTTTTTTTTTTTTTTCTCGGAGCTGGTGAGTGGAACTTCTGGAAGGACTGAAGCCGGTACGGTGACGATTTCTCAAGTTTTAGGAATTGCATTATTTTTATTTTATTTTTTTTTTTAGTTTCGATTTTGCATTGACGGGTTCTTTGGGGCCGTGACTGCTTCGGGGTTCGCCCCCGAGGTGCGGGAGAGCCGGGCGGGCGTCAGAACTTGCTGCAGTCGTAGACGAACGCCCCGGACGTGCGGTACAGCGACTGGCCGGAGGGGAAGGCCATCTGACAGCTACTGTTCCCGTTCACGGGCGAGTTGTTCAGGCCGAGCCGCTGCGACTCGAACATCTCCCGCACCGAGTGAAAGTTCTGCTGCTGGCCCGGGTAGCCCGCGGCCGCCGCCGCCGCCGCGGCGCTCGCCAGGTGGCCCAGGTCTCCGCCCGCCTGGTTGAGGTACCACGAGGGCAGGCGGCCCTGGTGGGCCGCGGCGTGGTGGCCGGCCTCTTGGCCGCCCCCGCCGTGGCTCAGGGACGCCGAGCTGCTGCTGGTGACCGGAGGCAGAGAGTAGTCGGGCAGGGGGTCCTCCACGGCCGAGCCGCCCGCGCCCCCGGGCGCGCCCTGCAGGTGGCCGCCGCGCTCGCCGGCCGCGTACAGGCTCATGGCCTGCAGGTTGCAGTGGTAGGTCCCCGCGCCGCCCGCGCCGCCGCCGCCGCCCGCGCCCCCCGCGCCGCCGCCGCCGCCGCCCGCACCGCCGCCGCCCGCGCCCGCGCCGCCCGCGCCGGAGCTCTGGCTGCAGGGGGAGCTGTAGAGGGAGCTCTGGCCCGGCGAGTAGGCGCCGAGCGCCAGCGGGGGTGCGATGCCCGCGCGCGACGACGCGGCCGCCGCCGAGGCCAGCAGGCCAGGGCCCAGCTCGCCGGCCGCGCCCTGCGGCGACCCCCGCAGCGACGTCATGATGTTGTCCACGCTGAAGCCCTGGCTGTGGTGCGGCGGCGGCGGCGCGGGGGGCGCGGGGGGCGCGGGCGGCGCGGGCGGCGGCGCGGGCTCGGCACCGTCGAGGCTCAGCGGCCGCGCCGCCGCCAGGCTGCCCGGCGGGCTGCTCCCGCTCGACAGGGAGCTACTGCTGCTGTCGGGGCTCTCGATTTTGGGCACCGCGGCGGCGGCCGGGGACAGGGGCTGGGGCGGCGAGGGGCACGTACCGTTCTCCGTCTTGATGTCCTGGATGCGCACGGGCGGCGGCTGCGGGCCGGGCGCGGCGCCCTCCGTCTGCTCCGGCGGCGCGGGCGCGGGCGCGGGCTGGCGGCCCGGCGGCGGCGGCGGCTCCTTGAGGTGCAGCCGGTCCTTCTCCTCCTTGTCTTTCACCGCGTCCTTTTTCTTGAAGCGCCGCCGCCGCCGCAGGAAGCTGCCGTTCTCGAACATGTTGTACGAGTCCGGGTCCAGCGTCCAGTAGCTGCCCTTGCCCGGCTTCTTGTCGTCGCGCGGCACCTTGACGAAGCACTCGTTGAGCGAGAGGTTGTGGCGGATGCTGTTCTGCCAGCCCTGCTTGTTGTCCCGGTAGAAGGGGAAGCGGTCCATGATGAACTGGTAGATGCCGTTGAGGGTGATCTTCTTGTCCGGCGCGTTCTGGATGGCCATGGTGATGAGCGCGATGTAGCTGTAGGGCGGCTTCACCATGTCCTTGGGCTGCGGCTGCGGTGTGTAGGGCCCGTAGGCGCGCGCCATGCCGCCCGGGTACTGCTCGGCGTGCGCCGGGTGCGAGTACACGCTCATGGGGGCCGGCATGGCGGTGTAGCCGCCCCCGGCCGCCGCGGCCGCCGCGCGGTAGTAGCTCTGCTCGCCGCCGAGGTAGGGCACCACTCCCAGGGAGTTGGGGCTGGACACGGAGTAGCGCGCCTGCATGGCCCCCGCTGGCCGCTGCTGTCGCCGCCGCCGCCGCCGCCGCCGCCGCGCGCCGCCCCCCACCCCCGCTCGGGCCGGGCCGCGCCGCGCCGGCCGCCGAGTGCGAGTCCGGGCCCCGCCGCCGCGCTGCGTCCGGCGCGGCCGCCCGCCCGAGGCCCCGCGGCCTCTCCCCGCGCTTGCTGGGGGCTCCTCGGGCGCCGCCGGACACCTCGGCACCCGCGCCGGTCGCCGGGGAGGGCTCGCTGCAAGTGGAGATGGCCGGACGAGGACGCGGTCAGCCGCCTCGGAGGAACTCGCGGAGCCACTTCCAGGCGCGAGCCGGCGGGGGGAGAGGAGAGCCGAGAATCAGCGGCGAGAAGGCGCCCTCCTCGCCAGCCTGCCTGCGCCTTCCAGGAGAGACTCTGTCCCGAGCTGCCGGCGAAGGCGGCCAAATAACCAGGGGCGGCGGGCGGGGGGTGGGGGGCCGCGCGCCGGCCGCCTGCCCGGGCCCCGCGTCACCTCTTTGCAGTCTCTCGCGCGCCGGCCGCTTAAGGAAGCATTGGGAAAAACTTCTGAACTTTTGAGCATCCGTCACCCAGCCCAGGACTTTTTTACGCAGTTACATTTTTTTTTTTCCGGGCAGCGGAGCCCCGCCCCGCTACGGCGGCCACAGCCAATGGCAGGGCGAGAACCGCCTCTGAATGAGCTGGAGGCCGAGCCCCACCGGCCCGCGCCCCGCGGCCGGAGGACCGCGGGGCTGACCACACGCGCGCCGGCCGCCCGGGCCCCGCGCCCGCGCCCCTGCCCGCGCGCCCCTGCCCGAGCCGTAGCCGGTGCGCTCCCCGCGCCCGCCAGCCCGCCTGCGCGCCAGCCCGCCCGCCGCCGGCGCCCCGCGCCGCCCCCTCAGCCCCGGCCTTCCTCCGGACGCCCATTGTTGGCGCAAACTTCCTGGGTCCTCCTGGACCCCCCGCAGACCCTTCCTCGCTTCGTCGCTGCGGGCTGAGACCCCGCGCCCGCCTCGCGCCAGCTCTCTGGCGTCTCCGCCCGGCGCCGGGGTACCCGGGCCTCTCGGCGTCCACTGCGCGCGTCCCGTCCTCTCCTTCCTGCCCCCGCCCCCACCCAGCCTCCAGTCTCTCTCGGTTCACGGACGTCTCCGCTTTTGCCCTACCTGGAGCCAGGCACAAAGGGCCTGATTCGGAGCGCTCGGCCCCACAGCCCTGCTTGTTTCCGGGGGTGGGGTGGGGGTGGGGAGCTGCTCTCGCCTCGCCTCGCCCCTGCCTGGACACTTCTCCGGCCGAAATAAGGGTAGGGGGTCCAGTGCCCTTCTGGGAGCTCCGGAAGGTGCTTCGCCCCGGTCGGCTGGGCCCGCCCCGCTCTGGGGCTCGCGGTGGCTCTTGGCCTCCCGTGGGTGCGGGCAGCGCAGGCTGCTGGAGCCCCGCGCCCTCTCTGCACGCTCGCGGGCTCCTAGGTGAGGGGTTCTACCCGCTCGCCACGCACCGCCCCCTCTTGTCCGCCGGCCACGTTTCGGCTCAGAGGAGGGGTCAGGCTGCGGCGGGCTGTGTGACATTAGCAGGTCTGATGACAAAAAGCAAAGCAGTAGGTCCAAGAGCTGAGCGCTTCTCCAAGGCCACTCTCTGTCCGCACGCGCGAGCTGCGGGCTTCCAGAGATAACGGGTACGTGTGGGGGCCGTGGTCACGATCACACCTGCGGGGTGGCCCAGAGATTGTGGGAGAAGCCACACGGAAGGCCCCCCACTCTTTTGGCCTACTTGCAATCTCTGGGTGTCTGGACCGGGCTGGAAAGAAAGCAAGCGAAGAGAGAAACAGCAGGAGGAGGGCTGGGCCTCCCTCTGCCCCCAGCGACTCCGACCGAACGCGAGGCCCTTCGTTCGCAGCGCCGGGAAGGGGCCGCTGCGTGCGCGCCAAGCGTGGAACACTAATGCCCCCCTGGCTTCGCCATCCTTAACCCAAGTACAGGCCGTCCTGTCATGGGCTCCTTTTGGCTCCCTCACTTTGGCGAGAGAATTCTAATTGCGACTTCACGTGTCAGGCGTGAAGACGCGGACGAGTGTGACAGGCAGAGAACAATTTGAAAAATAATTGCATGCCCAAATGGACATTTCGTGGGCGTGGGGGGAGAGGAGGACCTGGCTTTGGGGAGGGGGGGGGATTGCCAAGAGGATCCGAATGGGGAGGCTGTCGCCTGCTAGGCTTCCGGGCTATGGGGCCGGCCAGCTGTGCGCAAGGCCAAATCCCCGGGGTGGGTTGAAAGAAACACCAGGTCGGTCAGCAGGGACGGTCAGTATCTGTTCCTGGGGACTTTTAGGTGAGGTGAAAAAAAAATGAATCCGTTTCCAACCCCCGAGTCCCGCACCCAGAAGGACTCAGCGACCCTCTTGACCGAGGCTTGGAGCAGAGACGTTTGGTGAATTCGCTCTCGAAGCTGCGTCTGCACGGCTAGCCGTGTGCGCAGAGGAACGCAGCGATTGGGGTCGCGTGGGTTCCCCCGGCCTCGCGCTCCGCCGGCTCCCGCAGCCCGCAGCCCACCGTCCCTGCGTCGGCCCAGGGTTAGGGCTTTGCGCATTCGACAGCTGCGGGGTTCTCGGCTCTGCGCTGCGGGTATAAAAACTGCCTCTGTGAAATTAGTATCTGGCTTTGCGGAAAAATAAATGGCGGGGTGCAGCGTTATACAAGATCAACTTTCCACTGCTCTAGCGTCTGGATATGGGCCAGGAAAAGATATTTGCTTTTGTGCTTTATAAGTCTACTCGGAAGCCAGCCTCCCGTAAACGGTTTGATTGTATTTCAAGCACTTTGCCTATTTTCTCGGTGCTGGTGGAGGTATTTGAACATGGAGACGCAGACACGGTGTCTTGGGGAGAACAGGTTAAAGCTTTAATTTTCACCGTAAAGATTTCGATGCCCCTTTTCTGCTGCTCGGCGTGTCCCGCACAGCGCTCCACTCCGTTGGCAGACGAGCCCCCGCGCGACCCCCGCGCTTCGTTTCTGACTTCCCGTCCACTTGCAACCCCAAGGCCCCGCCGGCGACCGCGGTAAATGGACGTTTGATGGAACGTTTGGTCGGCGCGCGCTCCGCCCCCCCACCCACCTCGTCCCCTCCCGGGCCCCCCGGGCGGGGTGACGAAGTCCGGGCCCACCGAGGGGCTCTGGGCTCTGAGGCGGGGGTGTGACGTCACCGCGGGGTTCACAACAAGGCCTCCCCGGGCCCCTCCTGCGGAAACTCACCAGGAAGCGGGGACGTGGCGGGCGCTCCGGGAAATGCGCGGGCAGGGGGTCGCGGTGACGCCGCAGGAATGTGTGTGTGGCGTGGGGGGGGGGGCGGGTAGAGGGTGCCCTAGCAAGAGTAATCACGAGCCAGGAGCTCTCCTCGTCTCCCCAGATCAAGTACAGGCAGTGCGGGTTGAGGGGCGGACCCCCGAGTCCAGAAAGTCGCTTGCGAGGGGCGTGAGCCCAACCCGCGCCACGCAGACTTCCCCGCGCTGCCAGAGACCCACGGGGAAACTTTCAGGGTCGCCCGCAGCGACCCCCTCTCCGCCCGAATTCCGGCTTCTCCGCCCGTTGAGGCTTGTGGTTCAGCCCGGGAAAGCGACCCGTCGGGGGTGCGGGGAGCGGGCTGGGGGCTGCGGGCTTGGGAGGTGTGTGCGTGCGGCGAGCCGGGCGGTCAGGCCCGCGGCCCAGCGCCTGCCCCTCTGCGGCGGGGACGCCAGGGGATGAAGGCAGCCACCCCGACAGCGCGGCTCCAGCAGCTGCAGCGAGGTCCGTCTGGGGGAAGCCTTTGAACCATTTGGAGAATTGTCTCGGTCTCCATTTGGCCTCGGCCTTGGAGGCCGGAGGCCCAGGGCCGGGGGGCATCTCCGAGCGCCACGCCCCGTTATTCGTTTCCGAGCCGGCCGGCCGGAGCGTCTCGTTCGTCCTCGTCCTCGGTGTGGCTTCCTCGCGGACGGACGGACGGAGCGGGCGGGGGCCTAGCGTCCGGGTGGCCCCTGCCCCGGGCGGATCGGCTTCCTCTGCTGTCGGCTTTGTTCCCGCAGCGCCTCCGATTCTGCCCCCTCCTTAGCGGAAAAATAATTCCTACCTAGCACAAACGAAAAGAACGTTTGTTTTTCGATTGTGTCACCGCCACAGCGCCCCGCACCGCCTGTGCGCGCGATGGAATGAACCCCAACAGTGTCCTCTTAAGGGACACCCCCCCCCACGCACACCGGGAGGGGTAACTTCTCATCACCCTCCGAGGGCCCGCAAGGATGCGGGAGCCTCTGCCTGCCGTATCGCTCGCCCCGCGGCCAGCCCACCTGTCGCCTCTGTGCGAGAAATGGAACTTGCGACATTCAGAGCTGAGCCGAGCGGCTGGAAGTCGCCGCGGGGCGCGAGGCTTCACCCTTAGGGCCTGGCCACAGCAGGCTCCTTGTCCAAGAGGTAGACGAAGATCCGAACCGTCACCTTCCCTAATAACGTGAGAAAGATACAATGTGGACACGGGTGGGCGACTGGAGAGGGACGCGTGGTGCGTTCTCCTCCATTCCGGTCCCCCAGCAGCCCCGCGGGTCAGCTGCCGCACTTTAGGGCCTCGAAGGGCGCAGGGCCCCATCGCCCCGCACACTCGCTCACAGGGGACGCGCGCCACGCAGGGCCGGCGAGTCCCCAGGCTCCCTCTAGACAAGCAGAGCCAGAGACGCGGGGTGCGGGCGGCGCCGGCCGTCGGAGGGGAGCAGGGTCGAGGCTGGCGCCTTCCCCGGGCCAGAGCAGAAAGCGCGCGCGCGCTTTTCCCGCATGAACGCGCCTCGGTCGTGGGTGTCTGGAGGAAAGGCTCTGAACCACAGCACCCACCCACAGACACGGCCGGGGCCGCAGGGGCGGCGAGGTCGGCAGCACCTGGCAGGCGGCTGGCTCCTCCCCGGTCGCCGGCCCCGCACCGCGCGGCCCCGCGCTCCGAGGCTGCGGCGAGCCCTGCCTCCCGAGGGCCACCTCCCGAGGGTGCCGTCGGCCCCTCCACGTTCCCG